GAATTGCACTGATTTGTTTGAACATTTTCTAATTAAAAGTTAAATAAAACGTGAATTATATTATGCTAATTAAATCGAACTTGATTGATGCTAGAAAATTATAGTAAATAATTTTGAATTAAACATGAAATTTTCAAGGATTTTTTTTAATTAAAAAATGTATAATAATAATATTTTATATATATTGTGTGTGTGTATATATATATATGATCTTAAGCTTCTTTATCTGATTAAATTAAATCATGTTAAAATGTGACATACTGTATGTACATGTATTTTCTTAAATTGAAATATAATATGAGACAAAAAATATATTTTTAATTATTTTAAATATTATTATATTTCAAAAATATATTTTAAAAAATATGAAATAAAATGGCCAAAAAAATATATTGGTAAAAATATTTTTTACATAAATTCTGAAACATACTTTAGCAAATATATTTAATAATATTTTCTTTGCTGCCCTATGGGTTTACTCTTATATACCACAAATAAGACCATAAAAAAGACAAAAGATCAGTTCTGCATATCAGTGATATCAGTGTCAGTCGTAAAACACACTATCAGTTGATCTGGAGTCAGCTGCATGTGTCACTTGTTTGTAAAACAGGATCATCTGGTAATGTGCTTCCTCCAGCTGGAATAACACGGCTCTCATCTCATCATTTTCCTGCGATTGTAAGGCGATGCTGCATGGCGGACTGAAGCACTTGTTTTATTCTGCCCGCTGCTTTTGTTTGCACATACTGTAACACTTCTGTAAATCATTGTCTGGAGATGCACAATGTCACTCCCAGAGCAAATGTTTGGGGTTTGACCGACCTTGACAGCTTTCTAAATTTAGCGGCTTGAGAGTCTAAATTTGTACATTTGGGACATAATTTCCTCTCCAAATTACAGTGAAGATTACTTATTAAACACTTGCATATCATCTCAGTATGGAAGGCCAATTCTGCCATGGAATAAAAAAACTAAAAAGTAATTGCGATTTTTTTTTTTCATCTCACAATTCTGAATTTTTTTTCCCCTTGCAATTGAGTTTATTTCTCCCAATTCTGATTTTTTTTTTCTCTCTCAATTTTGAGAAAAAAGAGTCTAAATTTGTACATTTGGGACATAATTTCCTCTCCAAATTACAGTGAAGATTACTTATTAAACACTTGCATATCATCTCAGTATGGAAGGCCAATTCTGCCATGGAATAAAAAAACTATTTTTTTTTTCATCTCACAATTCTGAATTTTTTTTCCCCTTGCAATTGAGTTTATTTCTCCCAATTCTGATTTTTTTTTTCTCTCTCTCAATTTTGAGAAAAAAGTCAGAATTGCAAGATACTACGAGAAGAAATGTCTGAATTGTGAGATGTAAACTTGCAATTGCAATAAAAAAATTCAGAATTGTGAGATAAAAAGTAATGCAATTACCTAAATTATTTATTCAATGGTGGAAAAAAATTTAACTCTGAGACATAAATTTCCTCTCCAAATTACAGTGAAGATTACTTATTAAACACTTGCATATCATCTCAGTATGGAAGGCCAATTCTGCCATGGAATAAAAAAACTAAAAAGTAATTGCGATTTTTTTTTTTCATCTCACAATTCTGAATTTTTTTTCCCCTTGCAATTGAGTTTATTTCTCCCAATTCTGATTTTTTTTTTCTCTCTCAATTTTGAGAAAAAAGTCAGAATTGCAAGATACTACGAGAAGAAATGTCTGAATTGTGAGATGTAAACTTGCAATTGCAATAAAAAAATTCAGAATTGTGAGATAAAAAGTAATGCAATTACCTAAATTATTTATTCAATGGTGGAAAAAAATTTAACTCTGAGACATAAACTAAGAATTTTGAAAAAAAAAAGATGAGATATAAACTCAGAAATGCAAGAAAAAAACATTACAAGCTGAACATTTGAGTCTAACACATGCTGTCTCTCTGTCTGTCTGTAGGTCCAGACGGCACCCATAGACACTGACTGGGCGACCGGACTGATCCATCGGGCCAAGCGCTCGTTACTATGGCGATGGAACACTCTGAAGCCCGTGGGTTCTGGATGCAGAGATCATTATGAGTGCGGAACCAACTACTGCAGGTGAAGAACAGCACCAAACACCTCAGTCCTGCCGCTGCGCTTTGGACGTCCCGAGTTCGAATCCCAGCTTGGGGACCTTTCCCAATCCTGTCCCCCATCTCCCTCTCCCACTTCACTTCATGTCCTCTCTACACTGTCCTATCAAATTAAAGGCAAAACGCCAAAAGTAAATCTAAATCAAAAGTAAATATAATCAAAAGTAAATAAAAAAAAAAAAAAAAGAATATGCAGTACATTGCATTCTTACATTTTTTTGAAAATGGAAAACTTCAAAATTCATTTTTACTTTCAGGGGCAGGAAATGGATAAACAGCTTAAATATTTTCTAGCATCAATCAAACAGCTTATATAATTAACCATAAAAAATTAAGTCAACTTTTTTTTCTTCATTTACTTAAAAAAATGGAAAAGATGCCATTTTCTAATTTTTCTGCCAATATTAAAGAAAAAAAACAATTGAATGCAACAGACCGGGCAGTAATACTTTGTTAATTTATTAACGCTATAGTCAAGAAGAACTGACAATGAATATACTTCTACAGTATTTAGATGATTAATCTTAAAGTTAGGCTAATTTTAATATTATATAATACATTTCAGTTTGTTAGCATTAGTTAATACACTGTGAACTAACATTAACAATTGTATTTTGTTAACTAAATTAGTTCATATATATATATATATATATATATATATATAATGTATATATTTTAAAAAGTATATACATTTATACTACATATTAAATATATTTTTCTTAACTAAAGGCTACAGGCCTATATTGCTCATTAGTCCATGTTAGTATTAACTATAAAGTTAAGAAATGAGAGCTTATTGTAAAGTGTAACCAAATGCTTGTTGTAGAAGTAAGTATTTCTATGAAAAGGTTTAGCAGACATGAAAAGAGAACGAGCGGGATTTTTAAGAGTTAAATTCGTTATGATAGATTGACGGTTTGTGACATGAGGACGTCAACTTTAAGTTAATTTTCATATATTTCTAGCCATCATTTTAAATGCTCATATTTAAAAAAAATTACTTGTGTAATTTGACCAAACTAACACCACAAAACACGACAGCATTCATCAAATCAACTGATACTTACAAATATAGCATTCATAGATGTTTTCCCTCCAATAAATGAATGATGCCACTTGAAGATGTCGGAGACATGAAATATGAATATACATTCAAACCAAGCTGATAAATACGTCACTGTAATAAAATATGTTTATCCTTTAAAATGGGGGTAATATTTAGCAGGAAGACATAAAACCAACATCGTGACTCAGTACGCCATCGATTCAAAACCAAATCGTAGGCCAATTTGAAAGTGATTCAATTGAAACACCCGATTCGCTTCGTTTTCTCAAGTTTGTACAGCGCCTCACAAGGGATTTTTTGTCGCTCTAAGTAAAGCAAATTTATCGTGAAATATCGCTGTATGACTGTATCGATTAATCGACATAAAAACCATCTACATTGTAATTCAATACGTGTGCGATTCAAAGCTGGATTGCATTTGATTATTTAAATACAGGATTCGCTTCATTTCGGCGCTCCGGGAAACACGAATTTACAGTAAAATAATGCCTAGAAATGCGACTCACTACTCGAGGGGTTCGATCAGAACCGAATCATATTTGAAACTGATTCGAACACGCGATCGGTTCATTTTGTGAGTGTAGGTCGCCTCACAAAGGATTTTTTTAGGGCTCTGAGAAATGTGAATTTATCGCGAAATATCGCTGTATGTTTGCATCGACAAAAACGGTCTACACATTGTGATTCAATACGCGTGCGATTCGGCAGAATATTTGATGATTCAAACACGCGATTGGCTTTATTTTTGGCCTCACAAGGGATTTTGGCTCCCTGAGAAACATGCATTTACCGCGAAATAACGTTTTGAAAAACACATAAAAGATCTACATTGCGACGTGCTAAGAAATGCGAATTTATCGCAAAATATCTCTATATGATTGCATATTGACAACTCTAATCACAAAAAGACTTTCACACAGAAACCTGAACCTTAAGCTGTAAACAGATAAGAGTTTATCACAGAAAACATTGACCGCTATTCGTGAATCAGCAATTCCACAGCAATTATGCTACATTCCAGCACAAGCCAGAAATGTTTTCACACATTTTATATTTCCTATTTTTTATGAGTGGCATATTCTTATGCCAGTGCTTCAAAAATAGCCTATTTTCCTCTCTTTCAGGAAACACACGTGCTCCTTCAATAAAGCTCAACAGGCCTGACTGAGGATGAATGATGAGGGCACCAAATCAAATGATGGAAAACAAAATGGCTAAAATTGTGCATCCCTTTGATTTCTCAAACATCATGACCTACATCAATCTGACAGAACATCTAAAGACGGCAGAAGACTTTCAGATCTACATCAATCTCAAGACTGTATTCAGGTGAATCTCACCAAGAATTGTCCAGGTCATATTAACCTCCAAAATCAGAACTGTTTTAATTTATTTGATTTTGGTCCGAAATATGACCTGGAGTGTTCTTGACACATTCACCTCCTCAGGAACACGTCTACAAGAACTCCAGTTTCATCATCGATGTTTTATAGTTGTACAGATCTTGATAACGTGTAAAATATTAACTTTGCATCTATAGTTTCTGATTCAGATTCAATGAGGCCGAGATGTTTGATCTGATAAAATACAAACACACATGGCAAAATAATCTGTAGCAAATCTATTTCATTATCAGCTGCAGCTTCCAGAAGAATCAGGACGTATTTATTTTGTAAATATCAGACACGTAAAGTGAGATGGTGCAACATGCTTTTTTAATTTATTTTATTGTTTGTCTCATTATTTTTGTTACATTGATAGTGCAATATTTTTTTAAGGAAAACAAAAACTAAAAATGCTCACATGATGAAATAAATGCATAAAAAATGAATTTAAAAATGGAATCAATCATGAACATTCCTTTTTTAAACCTAAAACAGTCAGCTAACATCAACACTGGGTCTTAATTCATAAACACAGTTCACATTATCATTTCACAATCATCATAATCATGAGATTTAATTAAGATTTCCATCCTGGGAAAAGTACATTTACTGTCAAGCTAAAGTGAAACTGAAATCACACCACAGTTTCAGATCAACGTACTTTAGTGATATTCTGTACTTCACTGAAACAAAATTAGCAACCCTCAAATCTTCCCTTTTCAGACCTAAAAAAAACACCAAACCAGCCATGAACTGCCACCAAACACCTGCAAGAATAAAACATGAAATGAACCATGCAGGACATGAGGTTTATTAAACATAAACAAAAATAAAAACTAAACCGATCAGTGCATGAAAATGAACATTAAATATATTCAGGAAACTGAAACGTTCAAGAAAACGAATCTTCTCAATGCTGTGGTAATACTGATGAAACACTTGATGCTGCATTTACTGAACACTGAAAACAAGGTTGTGTCTGGTTATTCAAGAAATTGTAGAGTTGCAAACAGAGTTTACATTAGTGATTATGGTCCATTTCTTTCAGAAATATTGTAAAAGTGTTATTAGCTGACTCTAAAAACATTCTTGAGCCAATGTACCATCAAAATCTTGGTTTGCATCTAAGAAAATCACTTATATGGCAGAGGAGATAACAAGCGCAAATACATCATGGCACCAAAACAAGTTATTTGGTCATTTTAAAAAAGGATTTAGTGATTTTAAAATGCGTGTGGCACATTATTGACTTTTCAGATTCACGTGAAGCAGACTACATTACATTAGTCCTGAAATCAGCATGAGTTGGCACCGCTGTCAGTTTATTTGTCAGATGAGCTCATTGCAATTGCATAAGTGTATTAATATCGTTGTGATGTGTACAGGTGACATCAATATCTCGAGCACTGATGTGTAACGTGTTGCATCACGTCTGCTGTCTCTATTAGTGTTTTCTGATATATAATTCAGTTTAGGACATGAAACTCTTTTTCTGATTTGGACACGCCTGCGCTATTTGGTTCTGCGATACTCAATCAATCATCTGAAGCATTAAATGCATTAAAAACACGTTTGAAAGATCCGGATCCGAGGCCAGGTGACCTGAGACAAACTTTGCACTTTGAGTCGTCTGCCGCATGCACCGATGCTCCTTGAACCGACTCTGGCCGTGTGAAAAAGAAATCAAGCTCAATGTCTAAACGCATGTTGGCTCATCATGATGTCTGGGGAGTTTACGATGAAAGCAGGGGCTGACGCTCGGCCTCGGTGCTCTGAGAGAAAAAAAAACAGTTCGAAAAAGACATTAAAATACAGCAAATTAATTAACAGGCAGCACTGCATGTGGCCTTTGTGGAGAATTGCAATCACAGAATGTGTTGTATTGAAAAAAAAAAATTATAACTGGACAATTTTAGGCAATATTTATGTGTGCTCTTGTGTTGTTATGCTTATTATAGTATCACTCAGTTAACTTATTTCAATGCCAACATAAATTCTATTAGAATCAAACGTGACTTGAGTTTCCTGTGCATTTCACATGAAAAATGTTACATGTATGACGAATTAGGGCTGATTATGTAGCATTCGAATCTAAAAACTTTTTTTTTTTGCACTAGTGACCAGCGCTATTTTAGTATTATTTGTATAGTATTATAGTTTTTATTTAATATTTTGAAGTAGCTTTTATTTTCATATTTTTACTATATATATTATTATATATGTATGTCAGGAACCACACTCCAGTGGTTTGAGTCTTATCTCTCAGATAGGTCCTTCAAGATATCTTGGAGAGTTGAGGTGTCCAAGTCGCAACATCTAACTACTGGGGTGCCTCAGGGCTCAGTTCTTGGACCACTTCTCTTCTCTGACTACATGGCATCACTAGGTTCTGTCATTCAGAAACATGGCTTTTCATATTACTGCTATGCTGATGACACTCAACTCTACCTCTACCTTATATCAAAATCGTGGTTTGCATCAAAGAAAATATAGCAAACGTGAAAACCACCTGCAAAGACAGCGTGGCACCTAATATTTTTTCTAATATTTCTAATTATTTTTTTTAAATATTTAAATTTACATATACATTTATGTATTTAGAAGGCACTTTTATGTTTATTAGACAACTAGATTAGAAAGCAAGCTAAAGTTAATGAGAAATGCAGAGAAGAAAACATTTGAAATTAGCTTTTATTTTTAATATTGTTTAATTTTTATTTTCATTTTTAGTATGTTTTGTACTTGCTTTTGTCACTTTATAATCATTTTTACATTTATTTTTCAGTTTTAGTTTAATTTTATTTTAGTTGAAGTTAGTCATTTTAGTACTTAAACTTATTTCAGTTAGTTGTCAAGGCAACATTTCAAATTTTCATTTAGTTTAAGTTCTTCATTTAATATTTATATTTTATTTACATTTATGCATTTAGCAGACACGTTTACCTAAAGCGACTTGCAAAAGAGGAACAAAAGCAATTCATCAAAGAGTCAACAATACTTTTAAAATTTGATTCCAGGTTTATGAGACAAGCTAGCGAAGTGGAGAAATGCAGAGAAGAAAAACATTAATTAAATTTAATTTATAATTTAATTTAATTTTATTACATTTTTTATTTTAATTTTTCTTTTCCTTTTTATACATGTTTTTATGTTATTGCAGCTTTATTTCAATAGTTTTTTAATAGTTTTATTGAAGGAAGTGATGTGAGATCCTCACCGGTGGCATCTGCTGTCGGCACATGAACACGATGAAGATGACGCCCAGTAAGATGCCTACACTGATCACTATGAAGGGGATGTTGACGATCACATTAGCCTCGGTAACAACCGCATACAGCTTCTTGGAAGATTCCTCGTCAATAACGACGCTCTGGAAAACAGGATGGACGCGTTTAGAAGATAAGAAGCTTTCATATTTCCTGCTCAGGCCCTTTGTTGTTCTGTCTGATAATGTGAACTCAAAATAACTGCTTTAGAGTTAAGATCTCATTCGACAGAACTATGATCTTTTTCATTTAGTGCACTTTTATCCAGAAAAAAAAAAATCATCTAATCCTCTAATGCTGAGACTGGTTTATCTCTTTATTTTTAAGATTCAAGGTGATGCAACCACATCTCTCTCTGCTTCATTTACTCTTTCATGCCTTGTGTCGTTCAAAGGTTAATTTTGCATCCGGTTTGGACGCTTTATCTGTTGCACTTTGCACCTGATTTTGCATCTCAACAAAGCAACAAATACACATGTGATGAAAAAGTCAAGACAGAGTGCCGTCTGGACTGCAGCTTCACAGAAAATCATGATATTCATGTTTATAATATCTTATTATCTTCATGCCTTACAGTTGCATTTAGCAAGTTAGATCTGGATGATAACAGAGTTGAATTTTGTGACGATATATAAACAATCCAGCAGTTGAGGTTTGCTGTATGATATTTGTGGCTTTATGTGAGAGTGAAAAAAAGTGAAAGTGATGTTTTTCAGTCATTTTTCTGGGAAGCGAGCCCATGACCTTGACATTGCAACTATTTGAGTTTAACTAATTGAACTGGACAGGAACACATGTTCTGACACGTAGACAAACTTGACATGCTATAAAAGCCTTGTAGAAAAATACAGATGATGATTTTCTAAAAATTTACCTCATTAAGATACATCACTGGAAACACCAGCATCCGGATCTTGCCAGTTTGACTGCAAAACAAAAAAGAAAATATGATTTTGATGGTATGTGAAGATGCTTTGAGCAGGCTTATTATAGAAAACTAAAACTGTAAAAAAATATATTTTAGTTACTTGAAAGAGAATAAAATCTGAAAAAAACCCCAGTAATTTTCATTAAGCTTAAGTACTAAAAGTACTAAAATAACTAAAACTAAAACAAATCAAATAAAATAAAAAAAACGATATATAAAAAACTAAAAATAAAAACAAAATTACTAAAACTTTAACTAAAATTAAAGTGAAACCAGAAAAAAAATATTAACTAAATATGAACTAAAATTATAATATATAATAACACCCATCAACACCCATGGATTTAGGCCCATCAAGAGAGGTTTGAATATATATATATATATATATATATATATATATATATACCTGTATATATATTCTTATTTTCGTTAAGTTTAACTTGAATTACAAAAATAACTAGTGCAAAACTAAATAAACTAAAATTAAAATGAATAAATAAAAATAAACTATATAGATTAGGGATGGTAAGATTCACTAATTCGCATCGGTGCATCAGGATAAAAGTTAACGATGGGATACATCAATTTAAATAAGTGTGCATTGGATACAAGTTGGCATTTGTATCGCAATGCATTGTTTCTAACATATCTGCATCGGTAAAAAACGAATTATTTATGTATAATTATTAGTAGATGTGCTATACTTTTATTATTTAGAAAGTGATCAATAATTTGTGATCAATATTTTACATGTAGATTGATTTCTCCTCTCTAAGCTGTTTCTCAAGCACGTTCTCTCATCACCGATACCGTGACGTACCACAACACTACAGAGACCGAGGCGAGTCCTGAGAGTCACATAGAATATAGATAAACATGGCTGTCTGTCTGAACCAAAGAAATAAAAGCCAACTATCTGTACCATATTGAATTGCATAGCTTATTTTTTTTCTATTGCATTGAATTGCATGGTGTTGAATCGAATCGAAATCGAATCGCACTGCATCGTAACAGGGGTGAATCATTTCACATCACATCGGTAGCTGCTTCATATGTATCCTTCATGTATTGTATCGTTGGCTGTGCATTGAAATGCATATCGCATCGGCCTCAGTTATGGAGATGCACATCCCTAAAATAGATATATTTTTAAAAACAAAATCTAATAAAAATGACAAAAACACACAACAAAATTACAAATTTACAAAATAAAATATTAACTAAAACTCTAACAGTATACTAAAATAACACTGCTTGTTTAGACCAATCAGCATGGATTGAGACGAATGCAAATGGACACACACACACACACACACACCTCTTCAAGAAAAAGCCTCTCAGACACATACTATCAGATGAATGGGACTGTGGGAAGTCAGCTCAGGCCCGTGTGTCACACTGATAATTCTAGGCGAGGAGAGATGTTTTCCATTCACACTCCATTCATTCGCAGGATTTATCTGCACTCTCAGATAGATCGCATTTCAAAACCAAGCCAACGAGCTGTCGGCTCAAGTGTCATGTTTGGCAGCGTCGGGTCTTCGTTCGCGTCATTGGACCACTTGACCCCCAAACAGACTCGGAAACCGATCCTCTCGCTTCACGTCCTAAAATAACTCCAACACGCAGCTGTCAATCATTACAGCTGGATGACCTACTTCAGGTCATGGTTCAGGAGAGACTTATGTAATGAGCTCATGTAACCCTAACACACCTTACTCAATCAGAAGTTGTTCTGGAGTTACAGATTAAAATAATCCATCTGTGGTCAATTTTACATTATAACATCAAACTTTCAGCATTTGACAGTGAAAGAGTATCAATCAAATTAAATGCATCAAAACTAATTAACTGGAGAACAGCAAGTTAAAGAAGGTTGAAATGACATTTCTGGTAAGTCAACAGAAAAACACAAATGCTAAAACGTGTTCAAACTGTACTATATTAAACTATAAACATGCAAATTACACCACAAACTATGTGCATATAGTGGCTATAAAAATAACAATTCATGTAACACAAAAATATAACATAGAAACTAGTGCTGTCAAACGATTAATCGCATCCAAAATAAAGGTTTTTGTTTACGTAATACATGTATGTGTACTGTGTATATTTATTATGCATATATAAATACACACACATACAGTATATATTTTGAAAATATTTGCATGCATATACATTTATATATTTATATTCTTATATTTTATACATTTAATATATAAACATAACATATTTTTCTTAAATATATACATGAATGTGTGTGTATTTATATATACATAATAAATATACACAGTATACACATATATTATATAAACAAAAACTTTTATTTTGAACGCGGTTAATCGCGATTAATCATTTGACAGCACTAATAGAAACATAAAATATAAAACAATATAAAATATTTTTTTCTTGAATTTGATTGGTTTTAATATCGTATTAAAGGTGGAAAAGATCTGACAAGATTTATCTTGGATTTATTTTTATGTCTCAAAAATCAGTGATTTTAACAGAGGTGTGAGTAGACGCTATTTCTAGATTTCTCTATTTTTTTGAAGGAAATGTTAGCAGTCCATGCTAAACTAACTCGGGTCACCGAGAGACTCATCCTCACCTGAATCCCTGGATCTGATGCAGGTAGACGTTCACCTGAACACGCTTCGCACCCCGAAGCAACATTCCAGTGAGCTGAGAACACAAACACACACAAAATCAACATCAGATTCCCTAATAAATCTGACTATTGGTTAATATTACTCAAAGCCCTGGGGGCTTGTGAGATGATGAAAAGCTAATAATAAATTAGATCATGAATGTAAAATTTAAATAAATACATTTTCAATAAAAACATATAAATAAGACACTAAAATGTTAAACAAATAAATAATTTTAAAATAATAACTAACAAAAAATTTATTAATATACTCGTCATATGCACAATATATGCACTTTATAATCATTATATACACACTATGCTAATTATATGTACATTATACTCATTATATGCATACTATACTCCTTAAATGCACACTATATGCATTCTATACTCCTTATATGCACACCATATTCATTATATATATATTATATACATTATATATCACGATGCAAATCGTTGCAAAGCAGCTTTACAGAAAATTAAAGTTTCTACATTATATTTAGTAGTAGCTTATCAGTGGTGACTATCTCAAGTTGATGTCCATATGGCAGAAATGTACAGTAAAAATCCTACAGTTAGTTAATGTCATGTAATCACACAGACAGTGAACACTATTAACTGCAATGATTATATGTTGCGATCAAACTTATAGCAAAATTTGGTAGTTTTGTATGTTATGCACACTATCATTATATGCACATTATAATCAACACACACTATACTCATTATATGCACATTATACTCCTTAAATGCACAGTATATGCACTCAATACTCCTTATATGCACACTATAGTATATACTCATTATATGCCCATAATACTCATCATATGCACACTTTACTTCTTAAATGCACATTATACTTGTCATATGCTATGCACACTATACTCATATACACACTACAACTACACTATTAAGTACCAGTCAAATCAGGGGTTTTCAAACATTTGAGATGATATGGAGTGTGTGTGTGTGCGCGTGTATGCATCTTACAGCACATCTGCGACCCATTTAACGCTCAAACGCAAAAACGTTTATAGGTGTGAATTTGCCTATGTGCTGTGTGCCAAAGGCATGATGGGAACTGATATGAGAAAACATTTCATAAAGCAACACACACATTCCCAGCAATAGAAGAGATTCCCGTCATGTGCACATAACAAAAGCCTGACTCTATCCTTCAGTAGAAATCAAATAAAATAACAGTATATATATATATATAATTCAGTACCATGGTACGTGGTGGTATTACCATCTGATACGGTTACTGTAGCACAGTTTTATAGGGTAGAAGGAGCACCTGAATCTGTTCCAAGTGAACCTATACAAACACCATAAAACACACACATAGTGCACTTTATCCTGCTGATCCGTGGAGATCCCAAACCTGCAGCAAAAGCACTTATCAAACACACATGTGCAGTTATTTAACATGCTCCTGGAAGAATCTAGTGCTCCTGTAATTTTATTTTATTGAATGTCTGAAGTCTTTTATACAAAAGGTTTGTAGAAACTCTGACTGTAAACTAAACAAACTCCCACGACACACAAAAAAAACAAAACAGACACCGGTTTAATTACTAACTACCTGCTGGGAAGTGGGACACGTCTGGACTAGCTGGCAAATCAGATAACATCATCCTAACATCATCTGCTGTATCAGAGAGTGACTCAGACACAAGCGTAAAATGTGTGTTTGTACTGTCAGTAAATAATGAAATACAGATGCTGTTATTCTTTCATTCACTCGCTCTGGATCTGTAGCAATGCTATCAGTTAGAAATCTTTTAGAATGAAACTGAATCTGTGTCTCATTATTATTGTAGGCCTGAAGCCTGAGTGTGGTGTGATGGCGCCCTCTTATGGCAGTGCAGATAAACACATACTGTATACAATATCTACACTACATACTCATTATATACACACACTATATTTATTGTATACATGCAACATATTATATACATATATACTATACTCATTATATGTACACTATACTCATATGTACACTATACTACTCATTATATGTACTCTATAAACATTACATACACACTATACTCATATACACTATACTAATTTACATTATACACATTATTTACATGTATACTACTCATATGCACGCCATACTCACACACAGATACACACTATACTCATTATATACACACTATATATACATGCTACACTCATTACACACACACACACACACACACACACACTATACTCTATATATAAATGCTACACTCATTATATATATTCAAACTATACTCATTATATACATACTATATATATAAAGCTACATGCTATACTCATAAGCACACGACTATGGGGAAGTCGTGGCCTAATGGTTAGCGTGTTGGACTCGTAACCCAAAGGTTGCGGGTTCGAGTCTCGTACCGGCAGGGATTGTAGGTGGGGGGAGTGAATGTACAGCACTCTCTCCCACCTTCAATACTGAAGTGCACTTGAGCAAGGCATCGAACCCCCAACTGCTCCCCGGGCGCCGCAGCAAAAAATGGCTGCCCACTGCTCCGGGTGTGTGTTCACGGTGTGTGTGTGTTCACTGCTGTGTGTGTGCACTTTGGATGGGATAAATGCAGAGCACTAATTTCGAGTATGGGTCACCATACTTGGCCACATGTCACTTCACTTCACTATACTCGTATACACTATACTTATTATTTACATGTATACTCATTATATACACACTATATATTTAAAAGCTACACTCTATACTCATTCTATACATGCTATACTCATATGCACACGATACACTATACTTATTATTTACATGTATACTCATTATTTGCATCAATTGCATGCTATACTTTTTTGCACACTATACTCATAGACATGCTTTACTCATATGCACACTATACTCATATACACTATACTCATTGTTTATACTCATTAGATGCACACTATACACATTATATGCACACTATACTCATTATATGCACATTATGCTCATTATATGCACACTATACTCATTATATGCACACTATACACATTATATGTGTATGTGTATAATGCATACTAATTATATGCACACTATGCTCATTGTATGCACACTATGCTCATTGTATGCACACTATGAGCATATATACTCATTATATGCTCATTATATGCACACTATACTAATTATATACACACTATACTCATTATATGCACACTATGCTCATTGTATACACACTATGCTCATTGTATGCACACTATGCTCATTGTATGCTCATTGTATGCACACTATGCTCATTGTATGCACACTATGAGCATATATACTCATTATATGCTCATTATATGCACACTATACTAATTATATACACACTATACTCATTATATGCACACTATGCTCATTGTATACACACTATGCTCATTGTATGCACACTATGCTCATTGTATGCACACAATGTCATTATATGCACACTATGCTCATTATATGCACACTATGCTCATTGTATGCACACTATACTTGGGTTTACAAATATTTCTAAAATATAAAGGCACCTATATATTTTCACATAAATGTTAAATGAAAAATTCAGAGAAAATATTTTATGTGATAGCGTATGGATCATATGCCGATATGACTGATGTAAAGTGTGTCAATCACTATTATATATATATATATATATATATACTTCCACTTCCATGTTAATCTTTGTTGTTCATCTGAACCTGCAACCGCAACGAGTGACACACGATGAGACATTATTTTTGCTTGTTTTAGATTGTAGCTCCACCTACAGTTAAATCTCATTGGTCTAAAATCACACTCCACCATGGGATGTTCTTGTATCTCTCACTGTTGTCTGATGCTTGAAGATAACGCACAATAAAGCAAATGCATGTTCCGAAAGGTGTATGTTTATCAACTGAGAAGATCATTTACGGTTTTATCACTGCAAACGTTGGATAAATGTGATCCTGGGTGCCGACATGCTCATATGATGTCATACAGAGAGGATTTCTGCACAATAAAGCATCACCTGCCTGTGATTATATGGCACTTTTCTGAATAGTAAGTTGGAATTCTCTACTTGGAAACATGCAAGTGCATGAATAAAGCATAAACATCAAACACATTCTGGCTGGCTGTGATTTTGCAGCTCCATGCAGCATTTTGCATTCAGTGAGGAGAAAAAATGTCAGTTTTTGATCAATTCGTCAGACTTTTTCATCAGGTTTATACAGACTTACCGGGTTGACGTCAATGACCGTCTCGTGCTCCTCCTTGTTGGGATTCATCCCGAACACATCCTGGACGAATCTGTCATCTGCCTGGTAGAAATGAGGGGAGGACATGATAATGGGCGCACCTGAGAGGAGACACACATGTTAGCGGGACGTCCCGGCGTCTGTAGGGTGACAAACAGCATTCAGACTCTCACTGACCTTCTTGGCAGACGCTGACGTTGAGGAGGCCGGAGCCGAGACAGTTCCCGGCCGGCACACAGAAGCCTGCGTTATCCGGGTTAATCGTAAGATTGGCGAAAACCTCGCTGGGTGGGACAAAGCGGAAACCGGGAACCCCTCGTACGCTCACGTCAGACTCGTACTGGGCATATATAGACCTGTCAACAAAAACATGCATTAAACACACACTGATTCCACTGAAAGACAGTTTTATTTAGGACTGTGATTGTTTCCTTATTTAAGTAAACAAGCAATAAATCTGAAAAGCAGATTTGTGTTTCAGTTTGACCTACTTCTCAGATTTAACAGCTTTGTTTGTATGACTATAATTTCCCTGTAAAATGGTTTTGGCTAAAGAACTGTTTTTTTTATAACATGTTTTTATATGTTTGATAATCACTTCAGTAAACTGCTGAATAGTTTTGCTTGATTGGAGGCCTGATTTAGACCTAATTAAACAACCTGCATGACGAATCACACATGCTTGACCCACATACAGTATGTGACCTGATAAGATTTTAAAAAAAAAAACCACTTTTAGGAAAAATGCTTGGTCACACATAAGCACTGAGTTAATCAGGTCACACGTTCAGACCCAATATGATCAATACTGAATCAATAACAGAATTCATAAACTAAACCTTTAATCAGTGACTCAGAAACCATTATTAATGTACAATAAAAATTGCAATAATAAAATATGTTTATACTTATATTCATGATTTGGCAACTGAATGTGAATATGCTAAAATATTGTTTAAATAGTTGATATTCATCATCATATTGAGTGAAATGAAGATCTGTTAACAGGTCAGTGTGTTTAAGTGGTCTGCGTCCTCACCTGCACAGATCAGAGGAGAATATATAGAGTTTCTCTGTTTTTGTGATGACTGGATGGAAAGATGCTCCGTCAGTGCCGTTGATCCTGTTACACCCTTCTGTACTCCACCAGTTCAATGTACTGACAAACAGAACAAATAATCCATAATTCACTCTGAGCACATGCTGATTGTGCAGCTCGTTCGAAATCCATTCATAAATCTTCTAGAGATAAAACGAGACGCTGAGTTTTCTGCTGATTTTACCTCTGTCCGTTCCACTTGTCTATACGAGCAAAGTCCTGATAATTCTGCTTCCCCGTGAAGAAAATATAATCACCGTCGTCGGTGCCATTTTTCTGAAACACAGTCAGTGACATGAGAATAAAACACTTGTACAAAAACACAATAAACAGATGTGTGTATCACTGAGAAACACAAATATTAAGTACAGTTACACTGAAGTCTCTTTTGTTCACCAAGGCTGCTTTTATTTGATCAAAAATACAGTAAAAATTCAGTAATATTACTACATTTTAAAATAGCTGTTTTTTATGTAAACGTTAAAATGTTACTGATTCTTTCAGAAATCATTCTAATATGCTGATTTGCTCAAGAAACATTTCTGTTTATTATCAATGTTGAAATCAGTTGAATATTTTTGTTGAAAATGATACATTTCATTTTTCAGGATTCACAGATGAATAGAAAGTTCAAAAGAACAGCATTTATTTGAAATATAAATCTTTTGTAACATTGTAAATGTCTTTACTGTCACATTGAATCAATTTAATGCATCCTTAATGAATAAAAGTATTGAAAATGTATTTTTTCTGAAGCTGAACCTAATAATCAGCCAAAGAGAGAGCTACTGACTGATGCCACAAACCTCAAACAAAACACATGATTTGAGTCATTCTTGTCTAAAGCACAAACACTTCACAATGACGCACACACTGAACTTTATTAATTAGTGTTAGAGGTATAAAACTTGTACTAATAATAGTGATGATTGGCAGCAAACACCACGGCCACTAACCTTATAGAAAAGTCCGAAGTGGTCATCCATTGTGATTAATTTTTTGATTAATTTAAGCAGCGGATCTTCGTAACCCCACAGCAGGTCACCGACCCTGAACGTCCCAAACACACCGATGTTGTTTGATTTCATCAAGGCACTGACGAAGCTTTCAAACCATCTACCTTTGGCTTTCTCCATCACGGTCTGAAGTCAAAAACACCCATACACAGTGAATTATCTAATCTCAGATTTCATTTTTTTATGCAAACATAATTTCTTCTTTTTTATTTTGATTTTAGGGTGAAATGTGACACGCTTTCACGAGATTCACCCATTAAGCACGTGACATGCTCTCATCTCTCTGTGGTTTTAGTAGGTCAGAGATCACAATCTCACCACAGCGGGGATGTTGACTGTTCGGACGATGTCGTCCTCAGATCCGCGTGACATGTTGGGCTCAAACACGTACGTCTTCGGATTAACAGCCTCCACTCTGGTTCCGTTGTCCAGAAATTTCACTTCCTCCTTCGGCCGATACTCCCTGAAAGAGGAAACGCAAATGTGGCTCTTATTGACTTATGAAAATAACACTGTCATGGAGCTGAGCAATTTTAAAACAACAGATCATGTGATTCAGGACAAATAAATACTAAAATCTGAAGCGTTATGTGGTTTAAATGAACACAGAGCATCTGTTGTGTTGTCAAACTTGTGCAAGAGAAAGCTGCAGCAAAAAGTAGTTTGATAAAGCTTAAAGATTTGAAGTAGTTTTAAGTTCAACAAAGTTTTAAAAGCAGTTTTAAGTTTGAAGCCATTTTAAAATCATTTTCAAGTTTGAATCAGTTTTTAAAGCAATTTTAGGTTTGAAGCAGTTTTAAACGCTTGAACTTTGAAAGCAGTTTTAAGTTTAAACAGTTTTGAAAGCAGTTTTCAGTTTTAAAAGCCTGAAGTTTGAAGTAGTGATGGGAAGTCCGGTTCTTTTCTGTGAACCGGTTCTTTCGGACAGTTCGTTTCAATGAACCGGTTCATCGGTTCTTTTACGCCCTAACGTAATGACGTCATACATAATCATGATCTGAAAAGTTTACAATTAAGTTTTGCAACTAAGCACCCAAATACAGTAACAGGCAATGATGTGCATACGGGGATTTAAGTCTTGAAGATATAAAGTAAATAAATTAGTAACCACAGTTTACCACAGTATTTGTAGTAAAACTGCAGTAACCACAAATTTAAGTATCGAATCGGTATCGATATCGACGATACTGCCTTGAAAAATATCGGTATCATATCGAAAACAAAATAAGGGGTATCGCCCATCCCTAACGAGAACCGCTCCAGCAGTGGGCATGTACGTTCGTTATCTGGCTCGCTGCACACATGCTGCTCTGCTCGTGTTCATCTTCAGTTCTCTCTTCACAGCAGTTCAGTCAGTGTGCTGTTTGAGTAAATGAATTACTCTGGGATATTGGTTTATTTCGACTCAAAGGGAGTGTCAGCCACATTAAAAAAGTGAATAATTTAAAGGCTTTAATGTAGCTTGCGCTCACTGTTGTACACAGAAGCAGCTCCGGGAGGATGACGTATGAGGTCAACGTTGCGCATGCGCCGCTCAGAAGTGACGCACGTGGAAGCGCAGCTTGTCAAAACAAAACAACAGTCACTAATAGATTAAAGTGATTATTACGTTTTGAATATGGATATTGTTCTTACAAAAATGCATCGATTCGCTACAGGAGGCCTTTGTTCACCCCCCGGAGCCGTGTGAGACACTTTTTTTTTAAGGATGGGCGCTTTTTATTTAAGTTCTTTTGGACTGATGCACTGCAACACGCGCTGAGTGCCATGAAACAGCTTGGAAGATCAAAGACAATTTTTAATATAACTCCGACTGGATTCGTCTGAAAGAAGAAAGTCATATACACCTAGGATGACTTGAGGGTGAGTAATTTATGGGCTAATTTTAATTTTTGGGTGAACTAACCCTTTAAGTAATTTGTGGATTAATGCTTACTGGAGACGCGAACCGTTTCAAACGATTCAGTCCGATTTGGTGAACTGGTTCAACCGGTTCACTGAGAATAACCGTTTAAATCGAACGATTCGTTCACGAACCGGACATCACTAGTTTGAAGCAGTTTTAAGTTTAAGCAGTTTTAAAAGCAGTTTTAAATTTGAAGCCATTTTAAAAGCTGAAAATTACATTGTCATGGAGCTGAGCAATTTTAAAACAACAGATCATGTGATTCAGGATTAATAAATGTGGTTTTAAAGAACACAGAGCATCTGATGTGTCGTCAGACTTGTGAAAGAAAAAACTGCAGCAAAAAGTGGTTTGATGTAGTTTAAAAAGCTTGAAGTTTTGAAGTAGTTTTAGTCTAAAGCAGTTTTAAAAGCTTGATGTTAGAAGCCATTTTTAAAAGCAGTTTTAAGTTCTACACGCCTGAAGTTCGAAGCAGTTTTAAGTTGTAAAAACTTGACGTTTGAAGCAGTTTTATGTTTGAAGCAGTTTTAAAAGCTTGAAGTTTGAAGCAGTTTTAAGTTAGAAACAGTTTTTAAAAGTAGTTTTAATTTTGAAGCAGTTTTAAATGCCGTTTTAAGTTTTAAAAGCTTGACGTTAGAAGCCATTTTTAAAAGCAGTTTCAAGTTCTACACGCCTGAAGTTTGAAGCAGTTTTAAAAGCAGTTTTAAGTTTTAAAACCTTGACGTTTGAAGCAGTTTTAAGTTTGAAGCAGTTTTAAAAGCTTGAAGTAGTTTTTAAATGCAGTTTGAAGTTTTCATAAGCTTGAAGTTTGAAGCGGTTTTAATTTAGAAACAGTTTTTAAAAGTAGTTTTAATTTTGAAGCAGTTTTAAAAGCCGTTTTAAATTTTCAAAAGCTTGAAGTTTGAACCAGTTTTAAGTGAAAGTGAAGTGACGTGTGGCCAAGTATGGTGACCCATACTCAGAATTTGTGTTCTGCATTTAGCCCATTCAAGTGCACGCACACAGTAGTGAACTCACACACACCCGGAGCAGTGGGCAGCACAGTGAGCAGTTGGGGGTTCGGTGCCTTGCTCAAGGGTCTCACCTCAGTCGTGGTATTGAAGGTGGAGAGAGCACTGCTAACTGACCTGAGACTCGAACCCACAACCTTCAGGTTACAAGTCCGACTCTCTAACCACTAGGCCACGACTGCTTTAAAAGCTCAAAGTGTGAAAGTTTTAAGTCTCTGACAGATTGCTGTGTGGTTGGTAGGGTTTTCTTTGTGGCTTGAAGCCCTGAAGTGTTACAGGGTTTTCAGGAACATAGAATATCTGATGTGTCATCAAGCGAAACTTGTGCAAGAGAAAACTGCAGCAAAAACACAGTCATGTGAATCGCCTTCCCGTCCGTCACACATCAAGAGGAAAACAAGACGAGCATGTTTTTAGTGCCATCACTGACCTGTACGTGTACGGGCCGATCTGCAGGACGAAGGGTTTGTCTCCATCCAGAACCTCTGCAGGATTGGTCAGATTAAAGAAGTAAAACTGCATGTAAACCGGCGGCGGTGGGTTTTGAAACACCGAAAACGCCTCCGTTCCATTTTCCAGAACTACTTGCTGTAAGAGAAAGTGAATTATGGGTAGTTATTTTTTACAAACTCATGGTTTCTAAAACAATTTAGGAAGAGAAACACGTTAAAAAGCCCATAAGTGTCATAATATCATATATTTATATTTCATATCCTACTCAATGAGTACATGTACAAAAATATGTGCAAATGACAGCAACCAGAAAAATACATGTTTTCTAGACATGGTATTATTAAGTAATTTCTCTCCTTGAAGAAGCATATTGCATATGAATATTATATTACTTCAATACCATAGTTGATAGCATCATATTAGTGTATATATAAAGCGGCTTAATTATGTCAATACTCTTTTAAACAAACTTTAATCTAAACTAAATCTAAAATGAAAATACGACTACAACTACTACTAATAATAATGCTTGATTTATTTAATATTATAATGTGATATTACAAAAAGACATCATATTATAATACATACTACACTACTTATGTCTGATTATTATTTAGATTTAGTCATTTAGCAGACACTTTTATCCAAAGCGACTTACAAATGAGGACAATAGAAGCAATCAAAATCAACAAAAGAGCATCATATCATTTAAATGTAACTTTACATTCATGTAAATATCATGGTGAATAAATATGGTGTATATTATCGTTTCATATTATTACAACATTATTGAGTTGAAAATAATAATAATGATTTATATAATATTATGATATTCTAATAAAATACATTACTGTACATTACATACTATAATATTACATATACTGCTATTCATATAAAACATTATATATTATGATCTTTAAACTGTATCAAATTAAATTTCAAAATAATGGCAGAAAAAAATATTTTGAATATGGCAACTCCATACACCATGGTGTATATTAAGGGTTCATAAAATTATGTGAGGATAACAATAATAATGTTAGATATAATGATATTATACAATATACTATGATAAAAAATATTGCTGCATTTCTTACAAATCAACATGAGATGTCACTTTCTGAGCACAACACAAACTACACATGTACAGTCACAGCATATGAAGAACACAACATAAATATGATATGAAAAACACACTCACTGACCTCTTTTATTGTGTTGTTTATGAGCTTCTGGAAGACCTGCGTTAAAGCCATCGCAATCCCGGCGATTAACAGCAGAACGCAGAGGACTCCTGCGCCGTAAACACAGCAGGACCGGAGCATGATCCGGTTCGGTTCGGCTCTGACAGGGACGGACAAAGACACAGCAGCTGAACCGGACTCAAGAGTGTTTGCATGTGTCGGCAGCAGCACTCAGAGAGAAATAAATCATCGAGTTTGTAACTTGACGCAAAGTTTCCTGCAGGGGGCGCTCGACGGCGCACTGAGACGATCCTCCATAGAAACCCATTCAAAACTCGCGACGGGGTTTGTGTTATTAGAACACACGTGTACTCTGGAAAGCATAATCATTTAAAAAATATTGACCCAAAAGATTTTTACATGACATGCAAAAGAAAATACGACATTTCATTCTGTTCAAAAAGACGTGTATATACGCAATGACAAACCCGATCAGCGATGAGAAAAGCATCAGGCATCACGTGACAGCGCGGTATACGCTGGCAATTAATTACACTCGAAAAATCATTTTAATTGACATTTAAATTGAAAATACACAGTATAGAATTAAAGTAGTTATTATTATAAATTATTACTGGTCCAGTGAACCCAGCGGCACGCCCATATTGAGACATTCCGCGCTGTTTACCATCCGATCTTATTCTATTTCTAGCGAGATATGAAAGAACCGCCGCCCACTCATGAGTCAGGAACTTTTATAACACATTATTATCCCCTCTATTTGATTCTGAGAGGATGAGAATCCTCACTCGTTAGGTTCGACAGAACTTCACATTCACCTGTGACATAAATAGACAATTGCAACCATTTATTATTGTTTTCCTGTCAATTATACATGTTTAGAGTGATTTAGAAAATCTGTAGGAGGAAAATCAAGTGTCGGTTTCCATTTCGACGGATAGAGTTTGAGTGGCGCAGCTAATGAACGTAGAACATTTTGAGAAGTCATATGACCGACTGCGCATGCGCAGCTCGCAAAAACTCGACTGAGTGGAGCGGCTAGCGTGCGTCTAGAGAAGGTCACGTGACTCAGTGCGCATGCGCAGAGCTGCTGGCGGCGGTTGTCTGTTGGATGTTTAGCAGGCGTGTGTCTGTACAGATTCGTCTAATCTGCTTTACTTTAATTTAGCCTCACTTTCGCTTTCTGTTCGTGATCTGCACCGGATTCATCCGGTGAGTTTCTGTTTTTGCTCAATTCACCCGAGATGTAGGAAAGTGAAAGTTTTAGACATGTTAAAGACATTAAACTTATTGTGGTATATTAATACATGTCTTTAAGGTCTATTTCCAGCAATAATTATGCAACAGAAACAGAAAAACCTGAAACTCCTGTCAAACATATGAACTTAAAAGTGTTAAAGTACTGAAAAACGTAAAACTAGGTTTTACTAATCTTACTAAACTATTAAATCTAAGTTATCATTAGTTAGTGCAGTTTTTTTAGATGTCACGGACCCCAAAATATGATCAGCCCACTCAAAAATATTACGTTAAAGACTATTAACATTTTAGAATGAAATTAAAACATAATAATAATTGTATTATAGATATGTGTAGAATAAAATTAAAACATAATAACTGTATTATAGATATGTGTAGAATAAAATTAGGGGAAAAATTAATAGATATGGAAATTCTTAGTTTTTACTACTTTAATTGCATTTGTTATTCTAATAATTATAATAGTAATGTACTGGTAAATGTATTATTTATTTTAATACATTTTTACATTTATTTCGATTAAGCTTATTTTTTATTACTAAATTTGATTAAGCATTCTTTTTTTCATAGTTATAAATGTCATGCGACTTTCATACATACTTTCATTGGTTACATTTTTTTTTATTATTTAATAATTTTTTATTATTAATATTTTTTATAGCTAAAAATGTCATGCAACTTATACATGCTTTTATTGGTTGACGATAATTTTTTATTATTACAATTTTTTCATAGCTAGCTAGAAATGTCTTGTAACATTTATACATGCTTTATGCATAGTGTGTGTTAATGACACATTAATGTAAGTGTATGTGTTTTTGCAGAGCGTGTGAAGACGGTCTGATGTCTCCTGAGTCTAGCGTCACGTCGCTGCTGGCCACTTCAGGACTCCTGCAGAGCTCCTTACGCCCGGAGCCCGTCCCCAGCATCAAATACAGAGACAGACACTACATCTCTGCGTCAGAGGCGCTGGACGCTTACATCACTGACTTCCAGAGGAGTCTGCGAGACGCTGAGACCACAACCGGGAAACTTGAGCTGCCCAAAGAGATTACAAAACCTCATCCCAGAAACAGAGACGGTAAATCAGCACAGTCAATGCAAATCAATTCATGCTTTAAGGAGCATTCTAGGTTATGTGCACCATGCTGTCAGTCACCACAGACGGCTGTGAGAATAAAGCAATAAGCCCCGTGAAGCCGTGGTTTACAGTGAATTTATAACAGCTAAGGGGCATTGTTAGGCATGACGTGAAGCGGAGTAAAACCCCCTTAGCTGTTATAAATTCACTGTAAACCACGGCTTCATGGGGGTTATTGCTTTTATAAAACGGTTATTCCATATACGTAGTAAGGTTTCACAGAATAAAACAGAGCAAATAAAGTGTAATGATATTAATAAAAACAGTATTCATTGTTTTTTTTTTTTTTTGTAATTGTTGGCTTTTGTCACTTTAATTAGTTTTTATTTTTTACAACACGTTTATTTAATTTGTATTAGTATTTATTTACATTTTAGTTACACTTTGTTTATTTTACTTTCAGTTTTGTTTTTACATTTATTTGATTTCAATTAACCAAAATGCAATTGAATAGTTTTATTAACAATAACAACAAAGGAGGCAGTGTCCGTTCTCTTTTTGATGCGTAACATCCAGTGTTTTTATTTGCTTTGACGTGTGCAGTACTGAAGACGAGTTTGATGGATGAAGAGCTGATCTTCCTGAACATTCCCGTCCGGAACAGAGACTCGGATCGGCTCAGTATGACCACTGATGACCTCCTGGCTCTCCCAAATGACGGCTCTCTCCCCGTGACCCGCACCTCAGCCCTCCTCTCCCGCTCTGGGAGCTTTCCGTTGGGATTGAGCTTCAACTCTAGCTCCCGGTCACACTCCCGGTCCATTATGGCCCATAAAAACTCCATAAGGCGTCCCGTCCCTGTGGATGATTTACTGATGGCTGGTTTGAGGTCACACCGTCAAGCTCCTCCCCCCAACATCCCGCCAGCCAATCGGACGCCCAGATCCAGTCATCTCCCGCGCTGGATGACCAGCCAGAAATCCGACATGGATGTTTCCGGGATGACCAGCGTTCCTGAGCTGAAGTATCCGGTGTGGCTGAGACAGTGTGAAGAATCCTCAGATCATCCTCTTCCTCCCAGAGTTCCTTCATGGGTTGGAGAACTGGAAGAGTCCAGTGGAGAACGTCAGTCGGACGCTAAAGGTCAGCGAGGTGTCAAAGGTCACGCAGGAGAGCCGTATGGATCCCAGTCCATCAGTCAGTGCAGTCTGAGAGATCTGCGTTTACAGTTTGAGCAGAAACTCCAGGCAGCGAAGAGAGGACCGATTCATGAAGGACCTCTTTTCAAAGGTTTGCCAGTTTAAACAAACACCACCATCTAATTTTCAGAGGAATATTTCATCCAAAAATATTATGTATTTTATGTATTTTTAAAGTTTTATGTATTATTATGTACTCATTTTCATGGTGTTATTTATTTATGGTAATTTAGGTAATTTAGTTCTTCAACTTGGCAATGTCTTGGCAAGAGACTGAAATAATACGTTTTGAATGTTTTCTTTTATTTCAGTAGTTTATCAATATTTTTGATTTAATATCATTAATATTAAATTTATTCATATGTTGAATGAGTTTTTAAAATGTTTATATTTTCCACTTTTCCGTTCATTTAAATTTTAGTTTAGGTTTTAGCTGTGTTTTTCAACTTTCAACTTAAATTAAATGAAATTTAGAAATGTTGTCTTGGCAACAAACTGAAATAAATTATCTTTTTATTTTAAGACTGAAATGAAAATAAAGCAAAATAGAATTATTAAAAACAAAAACTAATAAAAATGTCAAAACCAAAAAAATCTACTAAAATTAAAATAAACTTGTTAGGTTTTGGTTTTTTTATGGGTTTCAATCGTTTTTTTTTTTTACTATTTGTTTTATTAATTATTATTTTAGTTTTAGTAATTTTAGTACTTCAGATTAAACTACATGAAAATTAGAAATTGAACTGAAATGAAATAAGTGAATTACTATCATAATATATATCACTGGTCTCTTCTTGTGTTTCTCTCTGTTCAGATGATAAGATTGGTTCTCTGATCTTCAGAGCCGAGCAGATGTTAAACGCGCCTTCTTTTGCTCTCTGTGAGCCGGTGAAGGAGCACAACAGTTCAGGAGATACGGAGGACGTTCTGGACGCGGACCGATCCTGGGACAATCCCCCTGTGACGTTGTGAGTGATGGACAATGATGATATTTTCACATTGAATCTCAAGAAACTTCTATTATTTATTGGCAAAAATGTGCCTTTGGTTCTTAAAAGCAATGCAAAGGTGATGGATTTGATTCTCAGGGAATGCATGATTGAATGCAGTGTAAATCGCTTTGAATAAAAGCATGTAGTAAATGTAAATATAAAACATGTCCTACTGTCTGTAGTAAATCTCCAGTGCGTGTGGGTGGTGCTGATGAACCTCCAGCGCCTGAGGAACTTCAGAGGAGCAAGGTACAGTATGTGACAGTCATCATGATGTCTTCTGTTCATTTAAACTCAATGCTCTTCAGTGTAAATCTGTCTGGCTCCAGTCTGCAGCTTCCTGTTCATCAGGATACAGCAGCAGAAAGCATCCTGGTCCGGTGGAGGCGCTCAAACACATGCTGTTCCTCCTGCAGGCCGTCGAGCACAAGATCAGCCAATCACACGCCTCCGGTGACGCCAAAACCACTGCAGCTTCAGCCGCACAGCTGGAGAGAGACACACCGGAGCCGGTGAACAGAAAACCAGCCTTGCTCCTGTTATAATTGACAAAGCTTTCAGTGTCATTGGTTAATATGTGACCCTGGAGCACAGAAGCAGTCTTAAGTCGCTGGGGTATATTTGTAGCAATAGCCAA